GGTGCGTTCCAATAAGTCTTCCTACCAATATGACCATGTTGCGAAAACAAGGTCAAACAACTTCTATACTACGAAAGGAGACTGCGACCACACAAAAGGCCTTGGATTGAAAGATGGAAGTAATATTGCCAAACTCATAATGCCTGCAGCTCGGGTTGATGGCTTGTCTAGTAGGCACCAGAAAACAGCCAGTCAGTCGATGATGCAAACACATGAAACCGGGTGTCAGCCTACCTGGTTTCGCCTTGGCAACTGTTGCTGCTCGGCCATCAACGTCTCTGCCTCAACTACCTCTGCTACACGATTATCTGTCCGGAGGATGGCCTCACCATTGGCTCGCCGCCGTCCGTCTTTTGACCGCCTTGTCTTTGCATTTACGCTGGCTTCGACAGATCGACGAGGAAAAGTTGCATCACGAAGCGGGTCCACCGCGGCGAAGTGGTCGGTCGGTGCCTCAAGATCGTAGCTGTTATATTGACTGAGTCTGGGGACACAAGTTCCCACGGCTTCTGAGGTAGCCAGCTCTTCGTCAATACCGTACGAAAAAAGCTGTGAAGATGTGGAAAATAAAAAATTAATAAGGATAATATATATATATATAATTAGTAAAAAAAAGCTAAATATAGATAAATAAAAAGGAGGAAAACGAAGCAAGATTAGAAGGCGATCAGGTAGCAGGCAGTGAGTAACCGCATTATTCGTTCGACCTGCCTGGTCGCAAGCCTCTCTTTCACGAAGCCAAATCAGAATGTGGAAAGGAGTGAAGCCCAAAAAAGAGTCAAGCATTCAGTTTACAACTTTTCATCAGAATGAGTAGGTCCATTTGGATGGGGACTAACAGGAAATGATGTGTTGCTAGGCAAAAGTGGTATATGCCAGTTTCAATGTATGCATGCAACTGTCAATTGACTACAGCTTCATCACACACAGGCGTCAGATCAAACTGCCTAGGACCAGCCATGACAACTGGGTCAACTTGAAAAGTACCCTAAACCATCAATACACAGAAAATATGGGTTGATTTGATAATTGATTTGGGAGTTTTTCCCATAACCTCAAATAGACCTTTTGCTGCTCACTAAACTGAACTGCGATTTCCACCTCGCAAGAGGATTCTAGCCCGGGTCTGGATCATCATGGTAACACGTTACCACTCACCCACACAGCCACGACTGCTTGTGGGCCACAGAGAAGACGTAGCATCCGAGGCTCAGCTGGAATCACATTTGTGATGGGAGAGTCGAATAAGAAAATATTTTTTTCCATTACATTCAATGACGCCACTAACATTGACAACAAGTATATTTCGATAATCACTAATGCTTAAATAAGAAATCAATCATACCAGGTCGCTTAAGGCGATTTCAGCAATAATATGTATGAGATGAATTCACTCAATTTCGTTTAAGGTAATTGAATTTTCCCACAATCAGATGGGAAGACCTCATTTCTCCATTGGATTCCATTCATACTTGCTTTCCCGAACGACATTATCACATAATACCTGCAACCTAAAGGCACTCGTGGAAATGTGGCGTAATGGCCAATGTGTTGAGATTATGTGCTGCCCTACAGCAGCCTGAGTTAGAGTCCCGTTGGGGCGGAAATGCAATCTACTCCAACTCGGATGAGAATAACTTTTAGGAAAGCAAGATTATGTGAAATTCAATGGAAACGTAAAGTCCATTCAG